CTATAAGAGGGAATCTTAAGAAGATTTGTTTTGACTATGTAGGCTTCTATAGCATTTCTGCAGATGGCTTCTTCAGAACGGAAGTTCGGGCCAGAGTATCAGGGTTGTGGGTTTCGGGGATCCTAGCCGTACTGGTAGCCCTTTTGGGCAGGGGGGCTAACCACAATAGACAACAGGGTTCTAGGATTTAGGGAACCCTAGAACCCTAAGTCCACACACCCTGAACCCAGGATTCAGGCATCCGGGTGTAGGGCATAGGGGTTGACACCAAGCCCCAGCAGAGGAATCCGGAGGCAATGCGGTCCTTGTCGAACTCCCAGAGAAATCGAGGGAACAGCATGCCACCTTGAATACGACCCTAAATCCGAAACGCCTCAGCAATAAAAATAAACCCTAAACCGAGGAGGCAAAGGGCTCAGGGTCGAGGCGGGCTTCGGGCTTAGGATGTCAGAGTGGGGGATGCAGGTACGGCTTGGGGCTTCATGGTACCGCAAGCTTTACAGAGAGAGCCTACCTGCTGATAGGGTCCTACGCCGTAGGCTGTTCTTTGTCTTAGAAGATATTTCCGAGTGTTGACAAGGGAGTGGAGCTCTCAAAGGAATGGAGGCAGACTCTCAATTCCCAACAAAAAGCCCTGAAGCATAAACCCCCCCAAACCCCAAACCCCAAGGGGGAGGGCAGGGGATGGAGGCCCCGGGCTTTGAACCCGAGACCCCTGGGTTCCAATGCACTTCTTTTTCAATCTTGGGCTTCGCTCTAGGCTTGGCCTGGGGTTTAGGGCTTCCGGTTTAGGGTTTAGGGCTTAGGGCTTTGGGTTTAGGGTTTAGGGCGCAGGCTGAAAGCTTAGGATTTAAGGGCTTAGGGCGTAGGGTCTAAGGCCTAGGGGCTTAGGGTTTATGGCCTCGGGTTTAGTGTATACAGTGTGCGCGTAGTGGGTGGCGCTTCTTTAGGAACGGGAGCGCACCCACTTATCCCGCGCTTGCGTCAGCATGTAGTCCCGCCTCAACCACCCCAACTATACTCATGAGGGTTTAGGGCTCACCCCCCAAACCCTCCGCAAGGGGGCTTTCTTGCTCGCTGCTTCCCTTTGCAGCTCTACATTAAAAACCGACCGCGTGGGGTTGTGGCTCCTCGGGGCCTGTGCCGGCACCTCAACCAGAAGCAAGGGTTCCCAACAAACAACCCGCCCCTTGCGCCCTGTGAGGGTCGTTCGAAATTTAAACACCTATCCCTGGCAGGTTTGGGCCGGCCTTGCACATTCAATTGAAAAGACGTGGCTGGAAATCCCTGCCTGAAAAGGGCCGGGAGCTGGAAAGGCCCCAGACCCCTCTGAAGTTTCCCGGAACCCCCCAGGCCGGACAAAAAAACACCCCCAACAGAGTTGTTTGGGGTCCATCTTTACTGCCTGGCGGCAGAGAGGTCGTCGTCATGACTGACCTCCTGTCCTCCTACACCCTAAACCCTAAACCCTACACCGGGAGGCTTTACCCTCCCTCACGGTCCGACAAGACGCTCGCCCGGCGGCGGGGGCCTCGGTGGGAGCCTCGAGGCCCCCATCTAAATGGTCGGCGGCGCTCTCGGCAGCTTAGGGGTTAGGCTGGGCTAAGGTAAATTTAAAGCATCGCCCAAAAGAAAACACCGGTCTAGAAATGGCGAAGGCCGAGCCTGGAGCTTAGCTGCTCCAAGCTGAATTCCGAGCGCGCACGGGGGCGCGCGCGCGCTTGCGCAAGATCTCGTGGCATTCGGAACAACTTAAGATTCAACCCTGGTGCCTAAAACCACGGGGATTGCACCCTGCGCGAAACTTGGAATTCTCCTCGCTGCAACTTGCTGGGCTTGGCAAACCCGAAAACCCGCTACCCTAAGCCCAACAAGCCCATGTCCTAAAATTTGAAACCTAAGCCTTAAACCCTCAACCCTAAACCCTCAACCCTAAACCCTAAACCCAAAAACCCTAAACCGTCAACCCTAAACCCTAAACCCTAAACCCTCAACCCTAAACCCTCAACCCCACCCCGGCTCAGAAGGCAGGCGGCGATAAAGGTTGGAGTAGAAGACGGCGGACCGGTTTGGGTCGTTGAACTCCACCTCTTCGGCTGAGGCTTTGAGCTGCTTCCCGGAAACCCCTAATCCCTAAACCCCTAAGCCCCTAAACCCTAAACCCTAATCCCTAAACCCCTAAGCCCCGAATTAAAACCCTAAACCCCTAAACCCCTGAACCCTAAACCCCACCCCCAAACCCTAAAACCGATTCTTCCCAGAGTCCCCACTAAACCCTAATGTCGAATTCCGGGTCCTCTGAGGGCTTCTGGTTGGGGCTGTGAGACTCGGTTTGGGCGTTCGATGTTTTGGGGCTGTGAGGTTCAGGGCTGCACGTGCCGAGCACAGGGGTACAGGTATAGGTATAGGTATTGTCGTCAACTCAGGGTCCCTGGTAAGGGCTCCTGCTGCTGCTAGGATTGAGGTTCGAGGGTCTTGGGCTTGGGGCTTAGGGTCCACTTCAAGACTGCATTTAAGTAAGGGGGTTTCATGGTCTCTGATAGGTCTGCACCGATGAGCCTCTCTGGAAAATCCTGAGTCCCAAACCTGAACGCCCGGTGGGTCGAAATCCCAAGGTTTATAACTGAAGTAGGTTCTATTTCACATTGCCTAACTATAACCCTAATTACCGACAGCCCTACTTACCAAATTCCCTGATCCTAAAACCCCATAGCATACCGCGTAAAGCACCTATCAAAACTTGCAACAACACCGACTAAGTCCCCCGATGCTCATTCAGATCTCCCTCAAACCCTCAATCCCCGAAGCACAAGAACCCCAAAGCTTTGAATCCTAAACCCTTAAACTTAAACCGCTACGCTAAACAAAAACTCTTAAAGCCTAATAACACCAAGAAAGCACACCCTCTGAAAACCCTGAGACTGAGCACTTCGAACCTCATAGAATGGATGAGCGAGCCCTTATATAAGAGAACCGAGCACAACAACTTCACAGGCTCGCAGGTGTGTTGCGGATTGTCGCTGTCGAATAACAATCTGATCAATGCTCGAACTTCTCTGGTCAGGCTCATAGAAAGAAGCTTGATCCAAATATCTCCCTGCTTAGGAGGAGCTTCAGGCATCAATTTCACAGCTAAGCCAAAAGGGTGTGTGAGGCACATGCCTACACATCCTCTGAAGTGAACTCTAAACCCCTAAACCCCTAAACCCCTAAACCCCTAAACCCTAAACCTTAAACCCCTAAACCCCTAAACCCTAAACCGGGTCCTCTGAAGTGAACCCTAAACCCCAGCATTAGGTTCAGGGTTCGGTCTGGTGAAGTCTGATCTGATACCGTCCACTTGAAAGTTCGCTTGGGCTTATATCAGGGTTCAGGGTTTAGGGTTTAGGGTGTAGGGTTCAGGGGTTTAGGGTTTAGGGTTTAGGGTTCAGGGTTCAGGGTTTAGGGTTTAGGGTTTAGGGTTTGGGCTTAGAGCCCTTGGGAGTTGAGGATGGTAGGCAGTTTACGGGTTTACGGCCTCTCTTATGGATGTAGGACTTCAAGATTTTTGGGTATAGAGTTTAGGGCCTACCATCATTCAAGCGAACCGGAAACCAAAGCAGCACACCCGTCCACGCCCAAAACTCAAACACCAAACCCTCGACGAAACCGAAGAATCACGAGACGGTAACCCTGCGGCTCAGCATGTGCAGTATAGTGTTGGGCTGTGTTTGGACTTGAAGACCCCGAAACCTCATCCCTAAACCCTAAACCCTAAACCATAACCCTGCCTCGACACGCTTGAGGAGGTGCTCCCACGCATCGTGGGCTTCGGATTGCAGCACCTCTTCTGCTGGGGGTCTAATGGTAAAGGTTTAGGCTAGATCTAGGGCCAAAAGCCCTAAACACCCCAAAAGCCCTATCAAATCATCATAAACATCGTATACGACTAGGGCTCCTGTGAAGGATTCTATAAAAAGATTTGTTAAGGTTTTGTCTGGTTTTATGGCGTGTTTAGTATGCGGCCTTTGTAGTCAGAATGGGGTTTGGGGGGGGGCTTTTGATACTGTAATTACATGAAGGGTTTAGGGTTTCGGGCTTAGGGTATGGAGGAGCCCAAGGAACGCTCTTTCGTTGTTAAAGATCCCATATGAAGGGGTCTTGATCTATTCGGTTTGTACCCTAAACCCTAAACCCTAAACTAAACCCTAAACCCTAAACCCTAAACCCTCATAGGCCCTAAACGGCCTTGAGAAACTAACAACACCCAAACTCCGACGCGGGCACGGGCCAAGGTCGGGTGCCGAGCTCCTTCTCGAGATTCAGCTCCGCCTGTTCGGCCTCGACGGTTTAGGTTTTGAGGTTCAGGGTTCAGGGTAACCCTAAACCCTAAACCCTAAACCTTAAACCCTAAACCCTTTAGGGTCTATTTAGGGTTTAGGGTTTAGGCTTCAGGAGGGTGAGGGTCTTTGGGGTTGGGGGTATAGCAGCCTTGTTGCTGGTGCGGGGGACACTATCCTCTAACAGTAACTCCAGGGAAGACATTGATTGTTTTGTACGCGGTGTATAAGGAAGGGTTGTTGTGGATGTTATCGGGGGTTTTCAGGATTAGGGTACCCTAGGGTGTGGCGTAGGGCTCACAGGTCCTATGTTAAGGCTTTGCAGAATGGCTCTGGCCGTGGCGTCCTCGGGGGGTGGCTTCAGGACGTAGGGCTCAGGGTTCAGGGGTTCAGGGCTTTGGGGGTTTAGGATTAGGGGTTTAGGGCATGGGCTTTGCGCGGGGGGTTTGAAGTCTATAGTGTAAGGTTTCGGCTTGGTTGAGGGTTTGTCCCTGCATCCAGCATTCAGGAAGTGCATTGAAGACTTCAGCGTCTTAGGCCTAGAGACATAGGCTGTAAAGATGCAGCCAGCCCTGAAAGAAAATTCGAGGCGCCAATTTTTTCAATTCTCCGCGGTTGAGTCACATCTGACGCGCGCCTGGCAATGAATTCAGACAGAAAAAGCGGTGAAACGAAAGGCGTTCAGCTCCTACGAAAACTCAAGCCGCTGGCGGTGAAGGTCGCCCCTCCAGCTCGAAGCCAGCCGGCTGCGGGCCCGAGCCCCGCCTCTAAGCCAACACACTGTATGCAGGGAGCAGCTTCGCTACCCCCTGCAAGACACTTGGCAATGCAGACACAGGCCTGCTCTAACCAGCACGCATATTCCGTGGCTTGGCGCAGAGTGATACTCGTGCTTCCAAGAGGAGGAAGGGACACCGGTGGCGGGGCAGCCAAGTCCAGGTACGGTCTATCCCCCGAAACATAAATGCTATAGGCTGGCAGTGTCGGCCAGTCAACTGAAACATCAGCAGGACACTGGGGCCGTTCTCGTGGCTGAACGGGAGTCTCTCCTAGAAGCTCCGGATCCAGAAGCAGCAACAGGTTTTCAGCCGTAGCTGTGGCAGTGGGGGATGCCACTCGATCAGACCAAATGCTGACGGTATCACGGAGAGTCTGGAGAGGTTCAATATGTTCCATTACAGTACTCCAAAGCGCATGTTCATCTGCTGGATCGATTTCAAGCAGGGCCTGCAGCAAAGGTTCAGAGATACCGGGCTGGAAATCTATGAAGGAAGATTCCTGCTGTTCACCGGCAAGTTGCTCTGGCGGGGCTTGCAAATGTGCACTTTGCAAAACCTTCCCAGTAGGCTTGAAAGAGCCCCACCTCTGAACACACTGAACACTATACATCAAATGACGCTGCAACCGGCCTGGGGAAGCATACAGCTTACCACATGCTTGGCAGAGAGGGACAGCAGTGGTTTTGCGCCGAAGGTGTGCATGGGTTCTATAACCATGAACCTTCTGGGCATGGCATGACCATGCAACCCTCGATTGGAAGGTTTTCCTGCATGGAATGCAAACCTCAGCTGCCTGATGGTCACCTTGTGCTCCGACAGTCACTGGTATAGCATAAGACCGAAGGACACGGTATAAGCCATCCAAGGCTGCAGCGACATGGCACCTTTTGCACTCCAAACCTTGAGCACGAAGCACCCAGCCTTTATATTTGCCTGGTGAACTGTTCATCAGCTCGACCCAGCAGGTCCACTGGCAATCCGGATTTGGCAAAGGGGTGGTGCGGTGGGTCCAACCATGCAGCCATCGCGTAGATTCCTGCATGAGGGCAGCATAAGGTCGATCCAACTTAAGCAGAGCCCACAATTCGCTAGGGGCATGCCTGATTAGCTGACCTAAATACAAGAGCCTTTGCACGTGCAAAACAGTGCGAGGTCCTGGCAAGCCAACCAGCGTCAGAATTGTGGCATAAGAAAAGTGTTGATCCGACATTGCCGGAATGCACAGGATCTGTCTGTAAAAGGCCCACAATGCACCGTTGAAGCGCTGCTGTTCACGACTGGACAGTGGAGGCCATGAGCCTGAACCGTACAACAGCTTTGGTAGGACGAAAGAACGCAAAATGAAGGATTTGCGCTGTATGGCGATGCCGGGCGCTTTGAACACCTTTCGGCGCCCTTCGGCAAAAGCCACCCTGGCTTGGGCTATGCGATAAGCGATTTCGTCTTCCATCTTGCCAGAAACCGAGATCTGGGCACCAAGGTGCTTATACACTGACACCAGGGGTATCTGGGCCGGTACATCATTCTCCCGAAGGGTCTGGAGAGTGCCCTGTAGGCCTCGGTGGCCGAACAGGGAGCGTCGGACAGCTCTGGCTCCGTTGCCAGCTGGCTGCGCCAGTGCCGCCGTCTTATTACGGCCAAAAGAGAGCCGAAACCCATGTTCTGTAAATGCGTCGCAGGTGTTACCCGCCACATTCTGCATGGCCGGTTGAAGGCCAGCTGCCGTATTAGCGGCTCTCATCGTCGCTATGTCATCTGCCCAAATGAGGTCATCGAGCGAGATACTGCTGTCTGTATCCTGAAGACACAAAGACACAGACCCGTCGCATGGAAGGCTGACTGCCCGGACTGCCTGGCAAGGATTGCAACCCATGAGCACATCCCTGCGGTGCAGAATTTTCTTGACTACAAATGAGAACAGAATGTCGGCCCAAGATGACCCCGGACGGGTCCCTCGCGACGTGACCACTGGGGTATGGTCTTGTTGCAACACAAACCACGTGGCATCTGTCAGCCTATGGGCGACTGCCTCCAACCAACTAGTGGCCCCTGCCTCTGCCAGAGCGGATGGCTGTGCCGCATGTTCCAAGAGGGCAGCTATGTCTTCGGGAGGCAGGTGGAGGCCTTCTAGGCTCAATGCCGAGCCAGATGACAGACCTCCTGAGGCCACCAGTTGCCGCACCACGGAATAGAACGCGGAGGCTATATCTGTAAAGAGGATAAAACAGGACCTCTTTTCCGAGGCCTGCCATCTCAGAAAGCTTCGAGTCAAGTGTGCCCCAAAGACCACATTGCCTCCCGGTTTGCCCCCGATTTGGAGAGCTGGCGCACTGCTTACAAACAAGCTTCGTATGGCAGGGCGCAAGGCCTGGTGCATGCATTTTGCAAGGTTCGATGCCAACAAGATCTGGCGGTAAGACGTTACATCATTTTGTGCACCTTTCCCTTTCCAAAACTTAACCGCAAGGCCCCCTTTTAATCCTATTGCTTCAGAACCCCGAAGTACAAGCTTCAGAAGCAAAGGAAAAATGAAGTCTGAACATTCCGCGGCAAAAGTCTTCAAAAGGACACCCGGGATTCCATCCGGGCCCGGGGCTTTGTGCAGTTTGGTGCCAAGCATGACCCGTTGGAGGTCTGAGATGTTAGGTATCTCGGAGAAATCTTGGGGTAGAGCCCAGGGTGGATATTGGGCTTCCTGCTCGAGCAGCGTCGTAGAAAGATCCAACGGAGCGACAGCCTTGCCACCTTCCATCCCCCCAAAGTGCTGTCTCCATCGGGCCCTAACTTCTTCTGGCTCACAACAAGGGCGATTATCGATGTCCAAGACACTGGGTAGCGGTTCTGCCATGTATGGCTTCTTTCGTTTATGTCCTAGCAGCTTATGCAGTGCTCTATAGACATCAGAACTGGGATTGGTAGCAACCTGACGGGCTAGATCGCCAACGTAGCTGTCCCGATCGTCTCTGCATGCTTGGCGCAGCTTGCACAAAATGTTCAGATGGTAAAAATGCGCAATTTCTGACACAATCGCCTTGGTCATCCATCCACATAGTAAAGGATGCTCGCAGCGGTTGTCCGGCGCATTGATACCCCGCCAAAGCGCGAGACAGATCGCGACGGTTTGGAGCCGCTTTTGTGTCTGCAGGCGACGCAAGGAGCGCTTCCACCCTGTGACGGCACGTTGAAGTTGCCAGGTGCTATCCGTGATGTAGGGCTGGTGGGGCCTGGACCGCACAGTAGTCGCCAAGGCGCCTAACCCATCTTGCAAATGCTTAACCACAATGGCGGCATGCGCATGCGAAGACACAGCCCAGGGCACCTGGGGGATGCTAGCTTTGCAGAACCTCTTTGATAGCGCTCTGATTGTGTGGGTCACAGATGAGCTCGGGCGTCACTTTCTTGGGTGCACCCTTTTTTGCGCTAACTGGCAAAGCCATCTCTAGGTCAACTGTGACGCAAGTAGCATAGTGATCCTGCGTGGCAAGCGCAACATGAATTTCTGCCGCCACCCACGCCCGGACAGCATTGGTATGCCAACTAATTGGAATTCCTATCATGTCAGGCCGGCAATGTTTCTTATTGCGCTTCTGGACATACGTGTGGGTCTCCCCGCGCTGAAACGCAGCAAAGGTGCAGGGCAAGAAGCACTTCATTTCTGCGAGGATCTGATGCCAGTGTTGCCCCGGCAAGTCCTCAGTCTCCTGTCCAACTTCCCCTATCTGCGTCGACTGGATGCTACCTACAGAGGCGTTTAAATCACCTGCAAGGAGCACTAGAGCAGTTTGGCCGTATTTATGGATCAAATCTCGGGTATCGGACCACCACGTCTGAATGATGTGCTGCTCATGTCCACGGTGTGGGGCATGAAGAGACGCTATGAGTAGACGAAGGTGCTTGGTTGTGTATCGAAGCATGATCCGGCGGGGATCAGCATGTACTACGACACAAGCCTGGGCAGTCAGGCAAATCGGGGTAGCACCACCGGCTGTCGGGAGGAGGATAGGCTTGGTCGTGTGTAACCAGATTTCTGTGCCAAACTGGCCATGTTGCGCGCCAGAACTGAATCTGGCATATTGTCCGACCTGAGGGGTGCCCTGCGGGCACCTTGTTTCTTGAAGAGCCACCACATGTGCTCCTAAGGTGTGAAGCTGCGCTGCCAATAGTGCAGCCCTACCGGGCCTATAGCGAAGGCCTGCCTCTCCTATGCCGGATCCGTCCGAATCCTCCAAGGAAGCTCCCAACGTTAGGACGTTGAAGGAGCACACCAGGAGATTGAGCCGCATAGCCTGAGCAATGAAAGCGTTCTGGGAGCACGCATCCGTAACGGCCGCTGGCAAGAACGGCTCAACTAGCTGATGAGCAGTCAGTGACCCATGATTGGTGTCATCACCTAAGCTACCCTGGATGGGGCGGAGGCAGGAGTCCCCGGACAAACTACAAAGAACTGTGGCAGCCCAAGGTAAACGATGCCCACCTCGTTGCAGCCAATGTTTGAAAAGGTCTGTGCAGCCTGTGGAGCCAGTACAAAAACATTGACTTCGAGCACCTAGCTTGGCAAGCGCATCTGCTGCTTCATTTAGTGCATTGCCAGCGTGGCCTGGAACATATTCTATGGTGTCATGGGCTCTGATAAGCCCTCTGCGGAAGGCAACAACATGTGCCAATGCCTGCGGGGTAGCTCCAGGGAAATAAGACATAGTGCCTTTAGCCAAGCCCACAGCAGATTGGCAATCACTGCGGAAAGTAATCCGGCACCCACCAAAATGTAATGCTGCACAGAGCTGCACAATGCAGAGTGCAAAGCATTCCGCAAGATACGCGGAGGCACGACCGGCTTCACGGACAGCCCAGTCTGGCACAGCCCCTGATAGCCAAGCTAAAAAGCCATGCTGGGGTTCCACAAAGATGAAAGACCAACCAAGTTGCTCAGCCCGCTGGGCTGTAGCTGCATAGAAGGAGCCATCTGTGTAGCATACCCAGCTTGTCTGCAGGTCGGGGTTGACCAGCAAGGGAACTGCTTGAAGCACAGCTGCAGCACGCTGCGGGCTGGCTGCTGCTAACTCCCTAAACGCTTTAAGCTCAAAACGGAGGCCTAGCAAACCGTGAAGCTCTCCCCAAGTGAAGTCACACGGAGTATGTCCCAACTGCACTACCTCGCCCGGTTCTCGGGCAGCAATGGACGCAAGTAGGGATTCATGCTCAACCCAGCCATGAGAGGGTGGATCTGTGGTTTTGGATAAGTGTATCCAAGGTGAGCACAGACACCTGGGACACAGACCGGTCTTCCGGGTGTTGGGTGGGATCTGAGTTATGAGCCTTATTATGAGCCTGGGGTGCTCCTGAGGAGACCTCAAAATGCTCGACAAGGGTTTCGAGCAGAGTCACTGCCAAGAAGTAAGGTGTGGGGTCATGCAGGATGCTTTGGCGAAGCAACGTCGGGGTACAGCTTCCTTGCACCTCCACATCGAAAACCTCCTGCGGTGCTGCCCCAAGTATGCGGCATGGCGCTCTGCAAGGCGTCGGGATGGGCCGTGCAGATGGGTGGTAGCTGGGAAGGCCTGCCCCTTCAGAGCACGCAGCAGCAGGATGCGGCCTAAACTGGTCTTCAGTAAGGGCTGTGAAATCCGGCACAACGGTGTATGGGTGCTCCGTTTGGTGTCCAGACAGCTGGACTCCACCAACCGGTTGGATCACAGTGAATGCTGCAATTGCGAAACACAGATGCAAGGTTGATCTGACCGGAAATACGTGGATAGGCCTGCTATGGGTGACCTGCTCGCCTCGGGCGACTGAGAGACGATGGCCAATCGCAGAGCTGCAAAGGCCCCTTTGCATCGAGACACAGATCCACAGGAAAAGCCATGGGAAAGGGGTGAAGATCTGGGCGCCATCCGCTAAGGCACTTGCTAGTACCCAGACTCTCCACATTTCAACACTTTGGCAATACCCGCGAAGCTTAACGAGAAGAGCAACTCCAACTGAAACACCTACAGCCACACATTGGCAGGCACCTGCAAGGGCTGCTGACGTAGAGGCTGCCGAGTCGGGAGGATTACTCATGACCCTGGGGCCGGTGTGAGCTCCTATGTAATAGGCAGTAATCCAACTACCGGGGGCTAGATATATCCAACCCTGGTGGAGCTGTGCTCCATGAAATTCTACTTGCATACCTGGCGGAGCAAAAGCTTCCAGTTCTTCTTTCAAGAGGCGTTCACTGAGCCAGCCTCCAACAGCCCAAGTCATATGCCAACCTTGAAGAAGAGGTCTGCAGTCGACCAATACAAGGTGAGAAGGTGCGGTAGGTTGACCAACAGTGCTAGCTGCCGCAATGACAGTGCGGCACGGCCAACCTCGCACAGACGCATCAGGAACTCTTGGCTGTGCAGGAGCATGTGCGAGCCTCTCCACAGGGCAAAGCAGCAAGGCAGCTAAATCCTCCCTGTAGAACCAGGATCGCGCTGGGCCTATGGCAAAGAGACGATGGCCGCCTTCAGTGGCCGCACAGTAATAGGCTGATGTCGGCACAACGGGAAATGCTGGTCCGCGACGCCACGATAATGGAAAGTTCAGCAAGACTTCTATGTCGAGTAGAGGCGGCGGTGGCTGGCCCCTCGGCATGATCGTGATGCACAAGCCAAGCTGAAGCTGGAGGTCCTCCTCTTCACCCACTGGCTCTGCGAGGAAGGGTGTATGCACATCGACGGGCTGACCGAGCAGACCTGCAGCATGCAGTATGGTGAACCTGTCGGCTACCAAGGGGCATGCACACGAGAAGACTCGCCCGTCGTATTGCCGAGCATCAATACAAATGATAATGCCTTCTCCTGCCCATGCAGGCAAGGCAAGGAAAGTGGCCCACTTTTCACTAGGCTGGGGCCAAACTGGGATCAGGGAAGGAAAGAAGAACAGGCGCAGAGCGTCACGATATCGCTGAATCTCTGCACATGCTGCATTCACCTCAACTGGATGAGGGAGCCACACCTCAACTTGTTCTATCTGTGCATCGGGAGTTAGCAATGCCGCCGCGAGTAATGACAAGCCTCCCGCTGTCTGCAAGCCAACATAATACGGATCCCCTGGCAAGGGAACTCTGGGGAGCGCCCCAGCTGGCAGGAAAGGCCATGCTTCACCGTACGCCCGTGCGATTCTGCGGGCAGCAAACAGAGCTGTCTCTGCTGGCGTAGTTGTGGGCGCAGGCTCGGCCAGCAGTTTCAGTTGCGACACAGAGCCTGGATTGCCAAGCACACACCTTGCGAGAGGACAGAGAGGAGGTGTTAGGCTTATCTCAACTAGTGACGGCTCAACCCTCAACATAGCTATGGCACTGCAGGGGCTCTTAACAGGCCAATGGTCTATTTTTGCTGTGGTGTGACGGGCTAACCTAGTAGAGGGACGCTCTCTGGGCGACCGGCTCCGATCCCGACCCATGGTACAGGCCCCTCGGGACGGGGTTGTCCGACCCGTCTGTTCCCTATCCGTACTTTCGGCGGCAGGGTCACTGGTTGAGCTGGAAGACTCGTCACCTTCTTCCTCTCCTGGTTCGGGTGAGTCCTGGTCCTGGGAGTGTCCTGAATCTTCAAGAAACTCCAGAATAAACTCAAGGACAAGCATGCTGCCGTGTGCAACGGTAATTGCCTCTTGGGTTTCGAGGGGGCGTAGCTGACTATCCTTGATATTGACGCAGTATCCCTCCGGGGCATCAGCACCATACTGTTCACTGAGTGTCTTTAGGTCAACACGTCCTTCCTGAGCTAAAAACCAAGTCACATCTTGGAGGGTTGGTCGACGATCAAGGAATATGACATGCTGAACGGGGACTAATCGCCCCGGTGGTATCGGGATCCTTGAGATCCGAGTTGTGAGTGCCAACACTGCCTGGCACTTTTGTCCACATTGCAAAAGATTGCGGATACGCGGCCCTGATGGGCAAACCGTGATGCGATGAGGATCAAGCCCTAAAATCGTCGCTGCAAAATCTCGGAAATCATTTGACGATCGCAGGGAATCAAAGTCTATCGCAACTGTGAGGTCATGGGTATCAGACAGCACTCGAAATGCATTGTCGATAGGCCCTGGGAATAATGGGCAAGGCTGCCAATTGCGCGGTCCAAGCAGCATTTCAGCAAGGTCAGCAACCCGGGGCCAAGGGGCACCAGACGGCACAAGCGAGACTACATCGCCTGCAGCGAGTGGGCGGAGTGCCCCAGATGCCTGTACCCTACCATTCACTGCTAACCTCAAGCCTGAGCTATCCTTCACCCCTATCTGGTCAAACAAGTGCTGTCGGGTGGTGTGGGTCTGAACAATCCAGGCGAACAGGCGCCCATCAAGGGCTCTGGTGTCAATGAGAACACATGTGTATAAGCCTAGCCAGTCTGCAGTCCAATCCGGAAGCGCGAGCACAGTCGCAAAGGAGTTGTCGGGTTGCACAGCCGGCAAAATGATATGGCCGTGGCGAAGGACATCATCCTCTTCCCTTGCGTCCTGCAGTTCATCGAGGGCAGTTTCAATAGAACTTGGCATATCTGGGCGCAAGGACAATGAAATTAGCATTCGCAAAAACAGCTGGCGGGACACCTGTAGGGGCAGCCCTGCGGAGCGTGGGGACACCAGGCTCAGGAATCAGCTCCTGTCCTTCTACTTCGACCGGGTCTGCAGGAGTGATATCCTCCAAGGCCTGATGCGTCCCTGCAACAGCGAGGACCCTAGGGTCAGGGGCCCAACGTCCTTGCTGGTGATTGATCTCTCTGCTCCCAACAGCAAGGACGTGATTCATAGGTGGCTCTCTGGGCATGATCTGAAGTATGACAGTGCAGCCATCTACAAGATAAAGTTGCTGGGCTCGGGTAGGCACACCTGAGATCTCGAGCTCGAAGCCTACAGGCGGTTTCAAGTCGAAATAGCCAAGCAGCCTACTTGCGTTGCGCCAACCTTCACTCAGAAAGATAAAAGCAGGTGGCTTGCCAGCCTGTCTGGCATCGAGGAAAACGAAAACCCCTAGTCTGGCATGGGGCCTGACATCTGGCGAACGATCCTGAGCTGCGACTATACGAGATATGTGAAAGCCCCACCTGACTATCGAACGAAGAGGGCTAGCTGACCCTGGCCTACCAAAAGACATGAGCTCAGCCGTCGTGTGCATGCCTACAGCGATAAACGTCTGCAAGTCCTCAACGGTGTCGCCTGGATCAGCGAAGAACCTTTCACTGTCACGACACACATGTCCAGATTCATAACCAGCAGCAAGGAGGGTGACTGGAGCGAGCTGTATCTCATGAGGATGATCATAACAGACCTCCAAAGCAGCCCTTTCAGTGATCTGAGCATCCTCACCAACACCATCATTGCTACGGCTGACTGGAAAAGGATCCGGAAAGGCAGTGGCAGCCTCCTGGATATGCAAGATTGCTTCCCGAAAATGGCCTGGAGCCGCCCAAACTTGGACCGGGCAGTGGCCACCCAAGAAGGCCACAAGCAGCCACACGATAGGCCACCTCCATCTTGCATTGAAAGTGGTGGCTGTGCGGCGGCCTTGCCGGCGTGGTAAAAGGGGCCTATGATGTTCTGGTGTCCAAGGCAGAACTGCACGCGGGGACCCGATGTCCCCTAGCGGCTGTATGCACCTGAAGCCTGAGGCCAGGCACGGACGAGTCCAAAGCTTACCCAGGTGCAGGCGCCGCAATGGCAGAACACAGATTATGCTGGCCCATAGGAATAGGCCAAGGCAGCAACAAAGGCTCCGGCACAAAGGTACAAGCCAGGAGCTAAACAGGAGAAGAAAGTGTAGAAGAATTTCCTCGGAAGGTGCACACCCCAGAGCCACCGATGTGTGTCTTAGGCACTCTTCCTGACGTGACGAAATCCATTGAGAGCCGAGGGCTCTAGCACAACAGAATGGGCTGTGCGATTCAAGCACCAAAACAAACGGACAACATGGCGGTGCTAGTGAAGTGGAAGAAGGATTGCAGGCTTGACAGAGGCCACCTGACTCAAAGGCAGAAACCCAAGTCTGAGAGTCAGCAGCCGAGAATGACAAGTCCAATGACGGAGGAGAAAGAGCATCACTCAGCTCTGTACAGACAGCCCTACCTACCTCTATACAAGAAGGTGAAGTAGGTAGCCTCAGAATCCCATGGCCAGACACCGAAGTCTCGACCAAGCAACCGAGGTGCAACTGGTTCTTGGAGAAGAGACACCCTCCCACAGGGCTTCCTCTCACAAGATCCGGGCTCCCAAGTTGCCGGCCTTCGTAAGGCGCCTGGCTTTGAGATTGAGGCTGCCATGAAAAGTCTAGGTTACGCCCGGTGGCTGAGGCCCCATCACTTCGTCCTCGTCTGTATCGCTCTCTCGGATTGTGACCTTGGTCGCATCGCTTTCCTTGCCGGACCCTTTGCCAGTCTCGCCGGCATGCTGCTGGGGCGGATGACCAACACCCTTGCCCCCCTCGTGGATCGCCTGCGGCGGCTGTGGTGGTGGCTCGCTGGGAGGCCCGCTGGAAGGCCCCGGCAAGCGGAAAGGCTGCATGGCCGGGTTCTTCGCCATGTGTTCCAAATATTGAGCACGCTTGTGGTCCAGCTTGTCTGCAAGCCCGGCTCCGGGAGAGGTCGAATGAGGGATAGCCGTCGGCAATTGCTTCACTGCCTGTCGTGGCTTGGCCTGCCTGGGCCTCTGCTGAGTTGGTGAGGCTGTTGCTTCCGCTGCCACATGTTCGTCCATGCCGCCCGGGCCTGCGTCCGGGAGTGTCGAATGGCTGGGTGAGGTCATGTAAGGATCTTTGACGATGGCCTCTGGCATGGTGGATTGCATCGCAGCTGCTGCTGTGGGGGCAGGCGGTGTCAAAGGCATACTGGGAATTCCACGCCGTGGAGGAGTTGAGAGCTGCTGGGCTGAGCCTTCGGCTCGTAGTCGCTGAGGCGCAGCTAGAGCTCGACGCAAGACAGCATCCGAGTTTTCTGAGTCTGCACGCTCTGCTCTCCATTCCTGTAACATGTCGTTCCATCCTACAGCATCGTCCCCCATGGCTTCGTCTTCTACAGCGAGCTCTCCGATGGCGACAGCACGACAGCTGGCCCTGGCAGCTTCCTGAGCACGTAGGGCTTCCTCCAGCTCCTTGCTCAGTCGCTCCATGTCGCGTTGGTGTCGCTGCTGCTCCTTCATGTAAGACAACTTCATGTCTTCCAGCCACTTTGCCCAGAGCTGTTGCTTCTGGCGTCTTGTGGCTGTGAGACTCCTCACCTTCTGCTCTGCACGGCGGGTGGCGTTGATGCACTCCTGTAGATCGTGAGTCATAGACGAATCTTCGCCAGGATATTGTGGGCCAAGTGGCACTGGGCGGTTCCCTGCCGCTCTCTCCTCTCTTGCCAACTGCTGTGCTCGAGTGCGATCGTCGTAAGCTGGAAAGGAAGTCTTCCCTGAACCCTTCTTCGGTTCCTTCTCCCAGCGTTGGCTGGGGCTCCAGGCACCTTCCCAGAGCTGCCACCTGGCCTCCTGCGGATATGCAGCTTGCGAGTACGACGCATAAGCTTGTCCACTTCCCCATTGCCTGTTTTGCTTCCCCATGCGCCTGATGGCTTGTCTGAAGGGAGCGCTGGTGGCGTGGTGAAAATAGAGATCACGCAGCCGATTGCAGGAAGGGGTTAAGCCTCGCTTCAAGGCTTTCCGAGTCTGAGATCTCTGCCGCCTCTGTTTACGGTGCCAGTTAGGTGACCGTGGAAATGGCGGAATTGCGAACGGGTTTCCTACCAACGTTCTGGGGCTGAATTTTCCCCCGCTGCTGGGGGCAATTTGAGCCCTCGAGGCGCCAAACTGTTAAACCAAAAGTCCAACAAAACTCGTACCAAAGTCAACCCGAAACCCTAAACCCAAACCCTAAACCCCTAAACCTCAGCCCTACGTACACCCGCAAGCTTGCCAGCCGGGCAGTACCCCGACTTCGACATGCAATGCACCGGCCATAGGTTATTGGGGCGCTTTACTACTATCTCTTTACAAAGAAATCCTAAGGTGTATTTTTCTATAGAGTTCAGACCCTACAGCGATACTATCATGGAGACCGTCACGCCCTGTAACACAGCGGGCTTTCTGCGAAACTCCCAAACCAGAAAACGAAAGTCCCGGCCGCTCAACCCTGAACTCACATGGGGGCTTCAAACAATAAGGGTCTCCAAAATAAACAACCCCGACATAGCAGGATCCTGCAGATCAGGACCTACATATATATATATATATATATGTTTCTACACACACACACACATATATACATATATATATATATATGTGTATATATATATTTATAGAGAGAGAGAGAGAGAGAGACAGAGAGAGAGAGAGAGAGAGAGTTTTACGAAGCCATCACATCAGCCGGCGGGCACTGATGAAGCTCGTCCCCAATCGGATGAACATGGAGGTCGCAGTTGCAGGGAAGGAAAGCAGTGCCTTCACTCCTGATCAGGTGGATGCAGGGTTCAGGGTTTCAGTAAACCAATCAAAGGATCTCGAAACCACAACCCTAACCTTACACACAAACCCTGAACCCTAAACCCTAAAACCCTAAACCCTAAAACCCTAAACCGTAAACCTGAACCCTAAAACCCTAAACCCTAAAACCCTAAACCGTAAACCTGAACCCTAAAACCCTGAACCCTAAACCCCATCACAGCCTCCTCTCCCTTGATGCAGATTCTAATAGAGCGATCCTAATATCACAGGGATCAGAACCTTAGCCTTCTTGACAAGAAACCCTCTTCGGAGGCATCACCATTGAACCGGCCTAGGGTTTAGGGATTAGGATTCTGGGTTTAGGCTTTGGGGTTTGGGGATTGGGATTTAGGGTTTAGTGTTTTTGGTTTCGGGTTTTGGGTTTAGGGACCAGGGTTTTGGAGCACCTGCGTGTACTCGAAGTAGGTCGGGAGGTATCTGTCCAGGTCTGACGTGTAAATGTCGTACACCGCCTGGCAAGGGAGCTTTTAAGGCGCAGTGCTCGGGACTCAGGCCCTTGCTCGCTGACTCTCTCTCTCTCTCTCTGTGTCTTTCTTTGTCTGCGTCTCTGTCTCTGTCTCTGTCTCTCTCTCTGTCTCTCGGTATATATATATATACACACGCATAAAAGATATTTATATAGTGTGTATATGGCGACAGAGAGTGAGGGAGAGAAACACAGAGAGAGTGAGAGAGGGAGAGAGAGAGAGCGAGAGTGTTGGCTAATGCTAAATAGGGTGATTTATGGTTTCTTATAGGGTTTAAGTTGTAATATAGGGCCTTCATCATGTCAACCCTCGAATCGGTTCTCATAACAGATCTGAGCCGAAATTCGAGCAGTTTGTAAGGCAAAGTTAGATTCCTTGCATGTGGGTTTTTGGAATCCTTGGGTCAAGGTGTCATGGCTCAGATTTCAGCCTGGTTTACACCGCTACCCATAGGCCCCTAAGTAGTTCCTTTTGGGGATTACCTTCTAGGATTCTATATATAAGCCACAAAAAGGAACTACTACGGAGCCTATGGGTAGTGCACAAACTGTTGGCACCCAAACCCAAGGCCCTAAACTATTGGACGAGGCCGCCCAATAGCCCTCCCCTTTTGTTCCCACAACCTTTCCCACAACTCAGTTTTGTAAGGTTTCCCAAAAGGGCACAGCCGGAAACTACAGCTTCTCAAACCCTAAATCCCTTAAACTCCACAGCCCCGAACTCCTTGAGTCTTACAAAGTTACTACCGGGCACGAGTCTTACAAAGTTACTAAAGGGCAACTATTACCACTGGGTATGTCGTAGTATGTCGTAGGAATTACGAATTCGCTCCGCAAGCCCTAAACCCTTGCCCAGTGCGAAAGTTATTAGAGGGCACAACTACTGCTGGGTATGTCGTAGGAATTAGGAATTCTTTACAAGAATACAACTATCTTCGAGGCACCTGCAAGCCCCTACCCAAAGATTCCTAGGTACCTGGCTGGATAGGACCTAGATACAGGATACTACTTAGCATACAACACAATATTTCCGAAGAAGAAGCACAACTGTCTACTGTGCGGGTAGATATAGGGGCATCGCGAATTCCCAAATTCATTTTTTTAAAAATCCGCAATACAATCAAACCTAAAATCACCCAAACCCTGCGCTATTGCAGTATTTAAGGACCCCTAAATTA